GAAGATAGACAGATAAGCCAGAAGACGAGCCCCCCCCCCCCACCCAAAAAAGGGAAAAACCACGCAAAGGTCAAGTGTGGAAAGGGACCGCGGCTGAATATGGCGCAGTGGTAATGGGAAAAGGAATACGGCTGGGCTGCAGAGTCAGTGCCGTAGAGCGAGAGGACTGGTGAGCCGTTAACAGCCGGGGTGCTTGATAGATTAGATTAATTTACCTTAGGGTAGCATACTTACTTACAACTTAAAGGAGGACACAACTTACAGGAGGACGTCATAAACCCCTCCTCCTTATTGTAATGGTTATATCGATAAGCGATTTGAGGGATAATTGAGGTGAGGGGTGGATAATGTTCAGGATCGGAGAAAAAAAAGAGTTCTGTTCGACTACCAGAGTAGTAATCTACACAATAATCTCCACGTCACGACAAGATTGTCTGTCATCCAATCCGGCTTCCTCCCTCCTCCTCCCTCCTCGCTCCTATCTACTTCTCCGTCTTCTATTTTGCATCCCTCGCTGACGCCTCTGTCTGAAATTGCTGCACTGCACCGGAGAAACTCCTTCAATATCTGACAAGAAAGAGAATGAGAAATCCATCGCCAACTTTACCGACCATGTCTCGAAGAAGCTGCCACCAAACCGCTCAATCAATATCTTGGGGAATCCGCGCGAAAAAGAAAGGGAATATGGAAGGGAATTCATTATTCGTTTCAATTAAAAAGAAAAATAGACGAGCCATGTCTGTGTGTGATGGGTGAGAGCTGAACGCAGGTATTGGGAGCAGGACTAGCTGCCCCTTAATGCGAGTGGATGGATGGTGTGGAAGACAATCGCTAAAGCCTCCAACGCCGGACAATCAATACAAGTGGTGAAGAGATGAATGCACAAAGGAAACTGGTGGCCCTGCAAGGTATCACATAACAACACAACATCCACATCCCCCTTTTTTCGTATCTTCGGGTGGCTCCTGCACCCTCACTGGTACGACGGGACTGGGAACAGGTTCTTGAGGCGCCGTGGTGATCTTAGGCATCGTGCTGTAACCGCCTGCTGTCCCTGGCCTTCCCGTACTCAGAGTCGGGCTCTTAGGACCTCGTAATGGCCATTCTGGGCTATCTTCTTCTGGTTTCTGTTCTGGGGTATCAACCTTTTCTTTTTCTGGAGCGGTCTCTGGAGGAGGTAATTCATTGTCGTTTAGAGGTCGGAAGGAGGTATCATATACATTGCCAAACTTTCCCTCCTTCTCCCATTGTTCTTGTTGTAATCGCTTTGCGATGGTGGGGAGCAGTTGTTGGTCCGGAGGCAGGCGGGGGTCTGGTTTATACATCGATGCTAGCCACGGGGGATCGCCTTCTGGACGCTTCGCAGTCGTATTCAACTCCCCAGAACGGGTGGATGGTCGTGTTGGGGGATCGCGGTTGGATGCTGACCTAGGTTTGGGTCTCTGCGCAGATGGTGCGCGCGATGTGGCAGTTGATCCTTTCCGCACTGTTCTCTTCGTAGGGGAGCTGTCGGATCCGAGACGCTTTGCTGGGGTGAGCGTTGCTGCACCATCATCAAGCTTGACACTTGCGCTTCGTCCCCGGGTTTTGGAATATGATATTTGGTCATCTTCCCCTCCCCACACCCCGCTCGGTTTCCTTCGCATCGGTGTATCGCGCTCGAGATGCTGGATGGGGATGGGGATCGGACTCGTTTTGGCAACAGGTATCCGCGAAACGCCCTTTATACCTCCACTAACATCCTGAAATAGTTCAGCATGGTCCTCCGCAGCCTCCTCTGGCAACCGCAGATCCCAATTCGCATTCTCCTGGCCCTCCTCCTCCTCTGCTGGGAGTGACTCAATCCGTTGACGCTTTTGTCCTCCTTGCTCACTCCTCAGACCATTGCCCTGTTGGTCACGACTGTGTTCACGACGACTGGATTTGCTCGCCGCTCGTGATCGCGGAAGAATAATACCCGCCGCTTGAAGCTCCTGGCTTTCAATACGTGCGAGTTTATCTCTGTGTATCCATCTCGAATGCTCCGGATCCTCCTCATCATAGACATCATTCTTCATCTCTCCAAGATCCACACTATTAATTGCACTCCGATTTGGTCCGTACAGGTCTAGCAGGCTATCGGGAGCACTGCCCGTTTCACTGATACTACTGTCCTGCCTAGTGAGAGCATTGATTCGGGCTGGCGCAAGATACGCGGATTCATTGGAGCGTGTGGTGTCGGTTCGTTTTTGAGACAGATCTGGTCGAGAGATTGGATGATCGAGAGAGTTGCCATTTATATGCGTCGGGGGTCGATCAGGGTGTTCGCTCATTTTGGACTGGGAAGAAGCCTGGGAGTAAGATGATTAGATTGAGCACTTAGCAGAGACAAAGAGACCCTTAGATCCAACCTACCTCCGTTTGTGATGACGAAGAATAGTTCCAGGAACTTTCTCTCCCGTGAGAACTGCTCGGGGGAGTCAAGGAACTCGGGGCATGCGGTGCGGAGACCGCAGCCATCTTGCCTGTGAAAGCCTCGAGATCGTTATGGTATGTATGGTTCGTAGTATTGTCGAGAAGAGATTTTGCGAATTGGGGACGCGAAATGTGATCTGCACGCCGAGGTGGTTTGGTGTCGCGGAGGAGGCTGGGCTGCGGACTCTCAGTATCAGGATGTCTGTTTTGGCCCTCAACAAACCCCAAGAACGCGTATCTGCCGTGAGTAGCGCTTCAGGTTGTGATCAAGAAAAACCACGATAGAGACTGATGGCTGCAAGCTGATTGGGGCTTGCTGGTTGGCTTGAATTGGACGTCTATTGAGATTGAGACCGAGACACCACTCAGACAACGCGATTGTAGGGTCCGTCGAGAGCAAACAGACGGCCCACCAGATCGTGAGACGTGCTGTAGTTAGACGGTGGGGATTACGAGCCCCTGGCACCTCGTATCTTCAAGCTGAAGTTCGAGGTCAATCAGATCGATCAATCCAAGCCCGCCCAATTATTGATGCGAAGGAGCTTTGACGATGTTGTCGGCGGAACGTTTATTATACGCATCCTTATTTAAATCTTAAGCGACAAACGCGCCCTGCAAGAAAAGGGGGTCTGCCCTGGCTTGACAGGATGTTGGTTCTTTTCTACAGAGGAAGTATATTTCTTATTGATGATCTGATACATGTCCCATCGCAGAGTCCAGCCGTACTGCAGAGACCAGTCCTGGCTTCCTGTCCTGGAAGCACATATATAGGAGATCAGTTTTGCGTGCATCGATTCTCCTTTATTGGACCCGAGAGCCGCTCAGGAGATCAGGGCGAGGTGGGAGGTCTCGTCGGAAATCCTCATTCTCGCTCCTGATTGGCTCGTGGGCCAGGGATCACAATGACCGCACGGGTAGACGGGTTACCGCGGACAAGGGACCAGGACATCAACGATTCATTCAAGACCAAGTCTCTGTCTAACATACTTTGTATAACATACAGAGCTGACAACAAACGGACTGATTGATATATCAATATCGCCCCCTCCGTCTCCCGTGTCGGTTTGCATCACACATGCCAACAGCAACTGCAAAGGAGCCTCAACGTAGGCGTCGGTAGGCCAAAGCTGTGCTATTCTCCTGGCTCTCTTCTCTTCTCGTCCTCCCCACCTGTTTTATCTTGTCCTATCTTCCTGGCTCTTATCCCACCCGGAAAAAGTAACTAATATTCTGTTGTCGCCCCTGCAATCATGGCTGATCAACAGCATACTATGCGGAAGACCCGTTTTGTTTGCATCTCTGATACCCACAATGCATCGCCCGGCGGGGCTTTCAAGCTCCCCAAAGGAGATGTTCTTATCCATGCAGGAGATATGACGAATCAGGGTAGCTATTCAGAGCTACAGAAGACCATTAAGTGGCTGGAGGAAGCAGATTTCGAGGCCAAGATTGTCGTTGCTGGTGCGGACTCCTCTACTGCCTCTGCGAATTTACAGACTGAGCCCTTCAGGAAACCACGATATTACCCTAGACTCTGCCTTCTATGCCCAGAACGGACGGTACTTCCACAATAAGGACCCACAAGATCCTCAGAAATGTCAAGAGCTCCTGGAAAACTCGCCTTCAATCTTGTGGCTGAAGCATGGATCCGCAGTCATCGACCTGCAATCTCCTGCTGGGCCCCGCACCACGTTCAAAATATTCGGGTCGCCACTTTCCCCCGCGAAGGGCATGTGGGCATTTGGATACGGAGCAGATGAGGCAGCGCATATATGGGAATCGATTCCTCTCGACTCAGACATTGTCATCACCCATACCCCACCGAAATATCACTGTGACGAGACAAAGGAAGGGAGTGCAGCTGGATGCCCAGCCCTGCGTGAAGCTTTATGGAGGGTCCGACCTCGACTGGCAATATGTGGGCATGTTCATGAGGGCAGAGGTGTTGAACGTATCCGCTGGGACATTGGGGGGTCAAATACCAAATATAGGGAAGAATGTGTCAAGAGATGGGAAGACCCGGGCAAGGATAATAAGAAGATGTCTTTGGTTGATCTCACAGACAAAGGAGGGGGAATGATTCAGAATGATGGTTCATCCGGTCATTGGAACGGCGAGGAAAACGCGGGCTCCTCGAAGAGTTCGGGTCCAGTCAACTCGCCAGCCTCTTCGTTACAAACAGATTCGAACACGAGCAGTGAAGCGCCTGTCACACTCGGAACCTCACGGGTTACAACAAATGTCCTAACCACCCCAACAGAATCTCTAACTTCAGCTAGTCGGGGCCATGGGGGTATGCCTCCTCCCCAAAGATGCGACCCTGAAGCTTTGTCTGGACGATTGGGACGCCGGGAAACATGTGTTGTCAATGCCGCTATCATGGCTTCAAGTTGGCCACATGGACCAGGCGGAAAATGGTTCAATAAGCCTATCGTGGTCGATATTGACTTACCTTTGTGGGAGAAGTAGGCAAGTTGGACTTTTTTCGGTCTTGATCAGTCCCATTAACTATCCAGATTATCGCGGAAGCCATGATAGCGCTGTATGCATATCTGGTACCGAACGGGAGCTACTCACGACGGCATGCTGTCAAGCTCGGAAACTAACGAGTGAAGCGTTCTGTCCAAAGCACCTGGTGAACCTTTCCGGCATCATTATTTGTGACAGGCTAAAATTCCGGTCCCGGAATCACAACCCAGGAAGATACAAAGGCTGATGCCAGCTGCAAGATAGCGAAAATGCAATTTGCTCATGAATTTCGGGAGGAGGGTGAAGAACTATGCCGATGCTGCCATTTCTGGATAAGAATATGAAGTGAAGCAGCGTTGGCTCCCGGGCCTCGACATGACCCTATCTTACGCACTTTGTCTTGCGCTACACTGGGCGGCAAAAAGACATGGTTCTGGTCATCAAACGATCATCTTTCCAGCAGTACTGCGCTGAAGAAGCAAATTCTCAAGGAGGTACAACGTCGCCATGCAGTGTTCAATGAGAATTCCGTATTTCTTCCAAGGCCTATTGTTGAGATAGTCCTCTGACTCTAAAGTAGACAAGTCACTCATATCTTTGAAGAGAGCTTGATGAAGTGTTGTGGGATCATCCTGTGCAAGGGAGATAGCACACCACAATATCTTTGCCACGGCAGCGATCGAAATGCAAGATCTTTGATTCTGTCCGCAAGTTGGAACGGGGTATGCTTGCCAAGTGGTTATACTTCGACCCTGAACGGTGCAAATCATGACATTGAACCGTTGGGTTTGGATGGCTGCCTGGATAGATCGCCAGCTTTCTTGACATCCAAGATAATTCTTATCAGGGCTACCAAAAAGAATCACAACCAAAGAATGGTGGCCGGTACTTCTGTTATCGGACCAATCCAATCGATCAAAGCCGGCTTTTACTTCCTACGTGCGTCTCATTCCAGGCCATAATTAGAGATTTCGAGAAGCACACTATTCCTTTAAGCATACACTTAGTATTCCTCGTGTACACGTGGTGACTGGAGGTCCAGTCAGAACAGCGATTTTCATGGCCAAGATAGGGCTGGGACAGAACCAGTCGGATTGCACGCAGAGTCTGCCCACGAACTGTTCACTGTCCCCTCTCTCTTCCTGCATTGAGAGATGGCCGGCGTAAGCAACGTATTCTGCACGCCACTAACTGCCCTCATGGAATCAGGTAGCTGAGGGCGAGACTGAAGCTTCTCAATCACTTCCTCACCTAGTGCGAACTGGGAGTCAAATGGCCTTATCGGCATGATACAGATATCTTCAGGCCTATACCACTCTACGAGACGTACGTATGCACTTGAAGATATTGGATCCACGTTGCGATGCCATCAAGGAGAAGATAGTGAGTAGACACAAAGAAGAAAGGGAAAAGAGGGGGGCCCCCCGGGGGG